TAGTATTTACTGGTGAGTGGTGACTCGACCGCCTCACTACTCTACTCTCTAGTAGTAGAGAGAGAGGAGAGACTAGAAAGAGAGCGTCGCCTACTGAAAAAAACACGGATCTGTAAGGCTGTATCACAGTATCAGCGTGACTGTAAAAAGTAAATACATAGTAAATAAATAGCACTGCTCTTTGACAGGGTCCAGGACTCCAGTGGCCTACAGGATACAGGCTACAGCCCTACTTTGGGGCAGTATGTATGTACTATGTAGCCCTACGGACTCTTATTTGAAAATATCAGTTGTTCTCTGAGAGTCGGTGTCTGCCGCCTGCACTGTATGAATAATTCGATATAGTTCTTGATATGATTTATGTTCATTGAAATATTTATACAGCTCCACGCGACGATTTTAATTTCGAAATCAGCAATCGTGTAAAATATTGCATTGTTTAGTAGAGCGAGCACAACTTTACAAGATGTATCGAAGCCACTGTGCCAATAGCGAGGAAGGAATGGTGGATCCCAACCATCGATTTCAACTTCAACGCATATGCGGTGTGTTGTTACTTTTGTCGATTAGGATGTCTTTTTACTTTTAAAATAGTTTTCTAATAGGAGATGGTTGGAGTAAGCTGGTATCCGGATGTAAATTGTAGCATAGTATTTGCCAACTCAATGAAGATATACCTACTTGTTTAGCAACCTACACTACTATACATGCCTATTAGGCACGCCGAACACAATTCGATCAAAAGCAGATTGTTGTTTAAATATGGATACTTCCCCGAGAGAGATCCATCTTCCATTTAAAAAGAAAAAAGGGATCGTTGACTCATGAAAATAGTGCTCATTGCCGTGAATAAACACTGACGAAGTATTTGGATTGTCGCCAGTGGAGAGGTTACTAAATATGGACAGTTTTGGCATTGATCTGGGCCTGCAAGCTGGCTTTGAATAGGATGGTGATGCCGCTACTATCTGGATGTGTCGAGGCGATTAGTAGCGCTTGAATGTCACAAGGGCCTCAGTTTAAAACATCATGTAGTTTGGCCCGTTGGAAACAAAGTAAATTTTTATATATAAATAGCCAAGCAAATCTTACGACCTCAACAAATGATTTGTAATATCGCAGAATTGTGTAAGTCACAATTAGTTTCCAACAAGTACGTTTATAGAAACGGACAATATAGCAAATATAGCAAAATTTTAGAAATCGTGACTAAAACAGCATGTAAAGTGAATCAGCTTACACTGCCGCGGAAGCCGTTGGGTTTTATATTTAAGTACTGAGCACGGAGTTCCTTTCGGATGTTGCATCCCTCCAGGTTTATCGTGCAGATATTGAGCGCTTTTCCGGCCAGATACTGTACACTCACTTCTGATACATGCTATCGACATATGTTCGAAATAGAAACCACGATACTATTTCCAAACTTAGAAAGAATCCGCCTAATAAAATAAGAACAATTACGGTAAAGGGTGCTCGGACCCTATCAATATAAACACTACTGCAGCTAGATACCATCCGGCGGCAAGCGAATGCGCAGCAACATAAAATAGTGCGGGAATACGGACAGACTTACCGTATACGACAGGTCAATCGATGACAATGTGCGACTAATAGCAATGTTCTTTAATCCTCGGTCGGTGAGCCCGAGGCACAGCCTGACACTCAGGACTTGCAAGGCTGGGAACTTCCCTAGTATTGTCATAGTCTCGTCTGTAACCTGCAACGTTGTGTATGTGGTAGACTAACTCTCATTGGTGTGCAATTCCACGTCAGCACTTCGAGAATTTTCTGATCGCGACTGGCATCAAGAACGTGAACAAGTACTGAGACTTGCCGTAGAGTGCGATACTACATTCAGCACGGCTGAAGAAAAATCCGACCCCTGGTGGCATGGAATACACACAGTAGGGATGACATAATTCAATAGAAACAATAGAAGTAAAATATAAGTGAGACTATAGGACACCAGTAGGGCAACAAAAGTATACTTACAAATAGCCCCGATTCCAGGCGGAGAGATTTTAAGCATGGCAAAGTGGAAAGGGTCTCGAGCTCGTCAGGCATGAAGCAAAGTCCCGACAGGTCCAGATGCTGTAGCAATGGGACATTTTCTCGAGACAAGGTTCAAACTGCTACACCGATGATTGTGCTCCAGCGGAGATCCAGACTAGTAAGACCCCGGCCAAACAACGGCAGGTGTTCCGCAAGTAGGTGGTCTGTAAACTGTGGCGATTAGAGATCGAAATGGTGAGGAGATGTGCTTCAATCCGACACATTAGAAGTCACCGACTGAGTTCTCGGTGGCGAATATTAAGCTATCCATAACACAAATGGGCAGTGAATGAATGTGGCGTGGTTCATCGTGCTGATGCGTATGCTATACTACCACCACAACGCTGACTTTTACATTCAAAGTTGTAAAACTAAACATATGTCAAAATATCCCAGTAAATCGAAAGAATTGTAAACGAATTGATATCAAGGATTTCCGACATTACATGGGTATGCACATAAAGGAAACCGGCCAACTATAAAACTTGCTTGTGCAGGAGTACAATACGAACTCACTAAAGTCTCAAGTGCAACTATACATAACAGCTACACAGCAGTTGTTATCTATTTTAGTTGCAGATCGATCTTAGCATACCTCCCGAAAGTATATCTAATTTAGATACAAGTAGGGTGTAGCCAGGCAATTCAGCTAATTTGTATCGAACGAGCATCAGTCACAACTATTGCACAATAACGTACACGTGCGCATATGATTGGAATATATATCCCTGTGCGTCTGCATTGCTATGGAAACCACTAGCGACATATGCACACTTTCACTGGGAACAGAAGCGCCAGAGAATGAGAACCGAAGTGCGCGAAATACTGACCTTTGAATGGGTCAGTCCGAAGCATTGTAAATTCGGTACTCGAGCCACAGCTTCTAAATCACTCGGCACCAAATAGATGCCCTCCACTGACACTTGACAGCGAGATGCTACACTGGCGTGGGTCGGGGTCATGTACGCATCTGTACGTTGCTGCATCCAGCTATCTTCACCCGCATCCCAGGCCGTCTGCCTCTGCGCATTAAGAACATGTGATGGATGTGCACGCACACAGCCAGATATATCCTTAGGCGCAGTTGATAGTCCGAGCAGAGATCGGATATTGTTCGCCAGTGTGGGCGCCACCGGCGTGGTTAGACGGAATTTGAACTGTCGGATTGACCGCAACGGCCTGATCTTAGCACAGGCTGGTTCGCAGGCACAGCTACAATCGCACGCCCTTATTTGACACAAACTCTCACGTGGCGTTGTGCGATTATCGGCTGGAGATGTAAGTATCCTCGAAACGGTGGCCTTAGTTTTGTCTACACTTGTATGGGGGCGTATGCTGGGTCTGTTAGGTCGCCGTGAAGTGTCGCGGTGTGAACTTAGTTCCGAACTTTCCACTGCAAATGTGCCCTCATTTGGTTCGGTCGGTAATACAGGGCATACCTGTCCGGTGCACACGGCATTCGGTCCCCAATCCGAATTCACGTAGTCAATCGTTAAAGTCTCGAGTTGGGTCATTTGGTGTGTGATGGCACTTAGACTCGCTGTGCTCAGAGTCTGCGTTGTAACGAAGCGCAAATGAATGACTAATTGTTTAACACGAGCTCAGAAGCAATGATATGCAAGAAACCGCAAGCATTTTAACCCACTTAGCACTTCGAACTAGTATTCTCATGGCACGAATCTGAACGACTACGTAGACAATGAATAACGAAATGGACAATGCCAGAACAACCAGACGCCGTTTAGGCACACATTGAATATAGATAGCCATCGAGATCATCCACACAACATTGCCTGTAAAACCTTTACATACGAATACAGAAGAATCTTGCATCCAATAATAGCAGTTGGAGATGACCTCGAACATAACCGTTTCCGGCTATAGCGCGTAGTTCGCCATGCTATCCGTAGATGATGCAAGAAAGTCACATTTACCACACTAGGCGAACCATCTGTTGGCCAGTGCACTACTATAGCAGACAATATACACCAAGTCATACGTGACTGGGTTTAACGTCCGCGTGTAGCTTACCTGATGTGGTGTGCAACCGGTGAGTGAGAAATGCCTGAGTGACGTGTAGCTAGCCGCAACAGCCACCAAGCGCATCACCGTATCGCCCGAGGCCTGCGATCCCCGCAGCGGCACATCTGTGCACTTGTATATTACTCCACACGTTCTCTTACACCCGCACATGTCCACACATGTCCCACATGTGTGCGTAGTATAGCAGCGTTGGCGCATGTGAAAGTTGGGGAGGGCCTCGGTTGTTTCACGTGCTTGGTCGATGGCCAGATGCAGCGACGTCAAGCCTAACCTGAAGCCAGAGTGCGCACCGAACGCCTCCTGTTATTTATTGTGGCATAGCCGCCATTGTGCGAGTAGGAACTTGAATATGTGGCAACTAACAAGAAAATAAAGTAGCCCAATAGGTTTGAAATACGAACATGTTATATACATTCCGAGAACTCAGGTGAGCTTCTTGCGCGATCGAAGTCGACATGACCGGGCGAATGCGATACTAGACTTCATGCTGAACAGAGAAGGAAGCTCGCCTCACGAGCGCTATATTGAACTTAATAATTCTAGTGACATTTGGTCTTCATGTACAAATTTAGCGTCACGCAGGCGTATGTGCGAACTACTTGTTTTGAACTCATCCCTTGCCTCAAGCTCGCTTTGAGTGAACCACTAAAGTTTATTTATTACATATTGGTTAACAATGGGCTTGAAGATCGGACGTATATTTATTATGTAATATGTATTTACATATACAACCATTTTCTGCAAGGTAATGGCGATTTACTGGTAGAATATCTATACAAATGAACTCGCACAATTCCACGATACACGCAAGTATGGTCGGCACTAGTGATATGCCGGATTTAAAGTACAGCACATATGTTGAATACATCGCTGCAAAATCACTATCATAAATGATCCATACATACCAAGCACTGACCAAGCACAGCCAATGGGCCCGATAGTGAGAGCTCCGACAGGGTATTCAACATCCGCGGAAGGTAGTACAACGCCAGTCCATTCACATCCCACTCGTACGCGTCTCCTGGATTGCCACGATTGGTGTGTATAGCATGTTTTCTGCTTGTGCTCGGGTTATCGTATGCTGCTGATGAATGCCTGTGCCATTGCACACAGTAAGTAGCTCGATCGCCTTCTAAACCGCGCCTACCACGTGGAGAGATATAGTGGTGCAGTGGCAATTCGGTCCCAAGCCTCTGCGGGTGCACTGCGGTGGTCTCGGGTAGATAATATGTGATTATATCAGAACGAATACGGTGCATTGGTTGAATTCGTATGAGATCGGGCTGAACATCAACACAATTCAAGAATAGGCCCAGAATGAGCGATGCAAGTGATTCACGTTCACTGAACAGATGGCTGTTTGTTGGTGTAGTGTATCAAAGTCACGTGCATATATACATGTACATCAACCCAGAACCACTGTCAACCGCATACTTACACGCACAGCAACTTGGGAAGTGCCTAGTGTGCAGCGTTTAATACACAAACCAAAAAATAATGATGTTCTAATAGAATCCACCGACAGAGTACAGTCGACCCACCAGAGGTACGGGGACGGTATACGCCCATCTCCAAACTGCGCAATGCAGGCAGTATATGGCCCAGCACAACAAATCTGGCATCATTATCGAACCGCCGCACTCGCCATGAGGTGCAGACGTCGGCTACAATAGCCGAAGCAGCATGGCCTGATTATCAGAAGTGGGTGAGGAAAATCAACGGATGAACTATCTTTATGTTTACGTACATGTAGTTGTGGATACAGTATTGTACCATGACCTGATCATAAGTGGGTGCGGCAAATCAGTGGATGAACGAACATGTAGTTGTGGATACAGTATTGCGAACAGGCTTGACTTGTAAACATGCAGGCGCGTACGTGGGGGCGCATTTTCTCACCCAAGTACCGCTATTGATGGCTTGATCATAAGTTGATGAGGCAGATCAATATATAAGCCATTAACATGTTTCTGTAGTTGTATATACGGTATTGTGGCTAGGCTAGAATTCTGTACACTCACTCGCGCACGCTTAGGTGCATATCGCCACTCCGTCACTGCCATCGTATTCATAGACCATGTACGCACAACGCAAATATCGCAGGAGCTATCGAGTCAGATCACAAACTTCAACCCAAAGTCGCTACGCAAATGATCAAGGCTGACAGAAAATATCAGTGAAAAAGCATATGCTTATCGATACTGCGCTAGTAAGTGTATCCACGAGGCATTGTACCGCGCAAGAGGTGGGGTTGCCTACGGATTCGTGCGTTCGCTGCAAAGACTTGCTGAACCAGGTTCACAGTGCATAAAACTACCATACAGGGCACTATGAGTGCAGCTTGAGAAGGGTCTCACATGTCTATCTATAGTTATATCCTTAACTAGATACCTACATACCACTGGTCATCTATCTTTATATCAGTACATAATGCTTTGCAGTTTTGTGAATATATATATATATATATATATATATATATATACGTACATATAAATATATAATATATATATATATATATATATATATATATATATATAAATATATATATATATATATATATACGTATATATATATAATTATATATTTATGTATATATATATATATATATATATATAAGTATATATACATAGATATATATATATATATATATATATAT